ACACACACACACACACACACACAAGCTCCACACACACACACACACACACAAGCTCCACACACACACACACACACACACACAAGCTCCACACACACACACACACACACAAGCTCCACACACACACACACACACACACACATCCTGATGAGCCGGCGGAAGTCCGACGGGAAAGCTGTTACGGGCATGCTCTTTTTGTGGACTTGGAGAGCGAACATGGCAATACACACATGCGTGTAGCAGAGACACAGACAGTAGTATAGACGAACACAATCCCATACACAAGTACATGTGGAAACAGTATTTACCTCAGAGCAGAATATCAGGACGCGGGACAACTAGAGGACCTGTTCTCGTGTGTGTACTGTTACGTTATTATAAATGTATTTATAATAACGTAACCAATTGCATAGTGATTGAGTGGTTGATGGATGGGACGATTGAATCGTTTTTATTGAGGAGATAGATATGATCTTCTTGACTTGTGCAGGATTTCACGGTGATTGATTGAGTGGCTGACGGTTCGGTTGATTGGTTGCGATTGATTTTATAATCTTGTGATGTTCAGGAAAGCATTTCTCTTCAGGAAAATATAATTTGTTGCTGTTTCTTTTCTGATGGATGGCTGGGTGATTGGCTGGCTGGCTAGATGGAAAGATGGATGGATTCGTGGCTTCCTTCATTTACATTTATTCATTCATTCATTCATTCACCCCCGCTCACTCGTTCACTCGTTCACTCGTTCATTGTTGTATAATAATACTGTAATAATGAGCATCTCCTGGGCGGTGATACGTATACACGCTACCATACGTGCGGGAAAAGGGCTGGCGCGTGGCATATGATCCCATATACCAGAAGGCCGTTCTCGAGCACCCGTTCATCTCTCTCTCTCTCTCTCTCTCTCTCTCTCTCTCTCTCTCTCTCTCTCTCCCGTATGTCTTGACGGCTGGACACCTGCCAGAACACGGGAAGTTTGTTTCCCTTGTGCGTTATTTCGCTTGTCCTGAAAACCAGCAACAGTTGCTTCCTCTTCTCCAATGAGCGCAACTCTCTCTCTCTCTCTCTCTCTCTCTCTCTCTCTCTCTCTCTCTCTCTATCTATCTATCTATCTATCTATCTATCTCT